AAAATTATTACTTCCTCCCTCATCAAGGTACTACATAAATTACTATTCAGTTTGAGTAAGTGATACTTTTTGTGACTTAAATTCCTACATTATGAAGCGGGGGCTGATTGAGTACTCCTAATTAACGTCTTGTTAGAACTTTTTTTTAAAAAGACCCTTTTGTTACAAACAGGTAAATTATCATCTTCAAGAATCTCTAAAGAATCATTTTTTTTTCCTGTGTAAGAGTAGATGATTTTTACCATGGGTTCAGTAAATCTGAAGCACTTTGGTCACACTGCTGTCCATGGAAGATGATTTTGCTGCATGGCAGTGCAGTTGTCTACAAAATTATAATAGAAGCAGGACTCAATTGTGGTATTTCCTCTTTCCCAAGCCTCACCTTCTTTTTGTTGTTGTTGTTCATTTATTCACATGTGCATACATTGTTTGGATCATTTCTCCACTCTGCTCCCCCGCCCCACCCTTCCACCCTTATCCCCCCTTACCCCCTCAGTTCCAGGCAGGTCCTGTTCTGCCCTTATCACTAATTTGGTTGAAGAAATTACATAATAAGGATGACATAGCATTTTTGCTAGTTGAGTTAAGGATAGCTATGTAGAAAGATTCCTACTATTGCTTTCATGTACCCATTTGTCATGACCCATGTTGATTCAACTCTATCTGATCTTTACCCTGGTTACTGATCCCCTGCTCATGATAACCTCTGTCACTTTAAGGTTTCTGTATTAGTTCCTCTGGAGTGGGGACATCAAACATTTTCATGTTTTGGGTTTTCTACCTATTCCTATATCTCCCGTATGTGCTCTCCCCTTGTCATGTGATCTGAGTTCAACCACATTGCTGTATTTGCCCTAGATCTAAAGTCCGCATGTGAGGGAGAACATACGATTTTTGGTCTTCTGAGCCTGGCTGACCTCGCTCAGAATGATGTTCTCCAGTTCCATCCATTTACCTGAAAATGATAAGATTTCGTTCTTCTTTATGGCTGAGTAAGATTCCATTGTGTATAAATACCGTATTTTCTAATCCACTCATCAGTAGTGGGGCATCTTGGTTGTTTTCATAACTTGGCTGTTGTGAATAGCGTTGCAATAAACATGGGTGTGCAGGTGCCTCTGCAGTAACCTGTGCTGCATTCCTTTGGTTATATCCCCAGGAGTGGCATTGCTGGATCATATAGACCTCACCTTCTTACACCTCCCTCCCCTGGCATGCCAAGTGAGCAGAGGCCAGGGATTGGCATCGATTGCTCAAAGCTTGCCAATTCCTGTGCTAGAGTGGTGAGCACTGTATTCATCTGGGAAATAACTGTGCCTTGGGAGTGTTCAGGGCTCAGTAATTAACAAGGCTTGTGTAGCTTTGTGTGCGGGCCAGTGTGCTAGCAATGCAGCACAAATGGAGGTGTGAGAATTTCTGTAGTATCCAAAGTGGTTCAACCAGGGCAGTAAAAGAAAGCAAGGATTTTCTTCCCAAGGAGTTGCAGCAGAACTTAGAACTTTTTTATATGTGTTTAAGATAGGGTCACGTGTTTGGTGTTTCATGTTTAAGAGTGGCTTCTTGTGTTAAATACGTTAGTTCCCTATCAACCTTCTCCTGGAGACATAGGCCAGGTGGGTTATGTCCTATTTACAATGACTAATGGATAAATTTGTCACTCTTCTTGCTAAAAATGTCTCTGTGACTCAGAATTCAGGGCTATGCATAGATAAGATGATAAAAAAGGCATATGGTAGATGAAAGGGTTTGACTTCCTTTAAGGTTTGATTTTCATATTTCCCAATTGGTAACTTTCCTTTTGTTTAAAATCCTGAACCTAGTCCACATTTTAAAAATATCTTTATGTGTAGTCTAAAGGCAAAAAATAAAAAAGATGAAAATTTTCCATGAAAAGAAGAGGTCTTCTTTTCCATTTAATTGACTATTATTTTTTCACCTTCTGTTTGTAAGGCAGTTTTCTAGTAGTAGATAGAAAGAAGCATATACTTTTTAAGAGTTAATAATTAACTTGGGGGGAAAGACATTAACAGGATATTGATAAACAAATTATACAGGCACATGTGTTACAGATACTAAGGGGAGCAAGAGCGCAATTCTAGCTGTGATGACCAGAGGAGACTTTGAAGAAAAAAAGTGGAATTTTTGTTGTTGTTGTTAAATGGTACTGGGGATTGAACCCAGGGCCTTCCACTTACTAGGCAAGCACTCTACTATGGGAGTCATGCCCCAGTCCAAGAAAATGAAATGTCTATATGCCTTGCAGTTAAGAGACATTCATTTAGTGAGTATTAAGGAGCAATGAGTAAAGTATAGCACAGTGTTTAAGAGTACAGACTCTGGAGCCAGACCAGTTGGTTCACAGTTGCCCTTTCTGGCTGTGTGATCTTGGGCAGGTTCTTTAACCTTTCTTTACCTTGGCTTTCTCATAAAGCAAGCAAGTGGTACTAATTGTACTAAAAGTATAGACTGTTTTGAGAATTTGAAAATCGTGTCTTCAAATAGTGATTACACAAGTTACATATTAAATGAGTATAACGTAGTATGATGAGGACAGTGGTGATGTGTAGGGAGCATAAAAGGCAAGGTTGTTAAGAAGATTGAAGTGGGTTTACTAAGGGGCTGGACTATCAGGACTGCCTGCTATTCACTATTAGGGATTAGAGCTTTATCAGCAAAACCATATGATCAGAGTAGTTTTGGGCAAAACAATCTAGCATACTAGGTTGAAGAAGAGATTGGCAGCAGCGATAGTGGATAGGAGAATTGTAACAGTCCAGACTTAAAATTCAAATGATTGAATATGGGTTTGGGTTAGAAAGAAGGGATCATCTTGAAGACATTTATTGTGAAACAGTTGTTAGGGTCTGAGAATGAAGCATCAGAAACACAGGAGGCAGAAAGCCATGTGTTTTTGCCTAAGTGGGGGAATTCAAAATAGACTTCTCAGAAAAGCTGATAGTATGTGCAAGAAGAGGAGATCCATTTTACATGTCCTGGATTTAAAGACAGTAGCCGGATTTGGCCTTGAAAATACTTATCTGTGCTCCAAGAGATTTCAAGCCCAGGTAGAGAAACTAAAGAGCCAGAGAGTGGAGGGCTGTTCTGTGAGAGTAAATGAGGTAAAACAGAAGAAGGCATGCAAAGTGAATATTAGAGTAACTTTTTCTGCCACTTCTTTAAAAGAAAGTGTGAGCCTGAGAGAATGGAAACACATTTCTAATCCAGCAGACTTACTTGAAACATGAGCAGCAGTGGGGCTCCCTGGCCATAAAGTGCCTGTTCACAGATTGGGTGCCAGGTATAGTACTGTCAGAGATGTGCTAAGTGTCTGTAAATTCTGACCTTCTGGTCTATAATTGTATGTTATTGCAAGTAGGCTTTATTCTGATGAGGGAGAGTTATCCGTAACAGTTATCTTAATTCACCTTATATCTTTAATACAGCTATTGTCAACGTGTATGGGTATATATGTAAATGTGTATGCATATGTATGCATATACACAAACACACACTCTTAAATTATGTATATATATATTTTGTTGTTGTTTTGTTTTGTTTTTGTTTTTTTGGTGGACGGCGATGAGGGGCGGGGAGGGCAGTACTGGAGTTTGAACTCCAGCTCTCTGAGTAGACACTCTACCACTTGAGCCACATCCCTGACCCTAATTTGTGTTATTTGTATGCGTTCCATAAAAGTTCCTTCAAAAACATTTAAATGTGTTTTTTCTTTTCTCTTAGATTTGAATTACCTATTAGTAAGGAAGAGGCCTTTTTGTTGGTGTCTCCCCCTTACCTTGTTCACATTCATTCACTTTTGTATTGATTCCAGTTTATTCATTCATTCATTTCAGACACTGAAATGGAAAGTGATAGACAGTGATAATAAGAATTCTTGGGAACATACTATCTGTTTGGGAAAGAAAAGACACAGAGTACATGCAGCAAAAGCAACAGTAGAGACATTCATGGAAAATTATGGGAACATAGAAGATAAACATTTGATCTAAGTGGAAGAAACCATGGGAAGAGGTAGAACAGTTGACTTCTGACCTGAGTCTCAAATAGAAAGTAATGGTTACTACGTAAATAGAAAGATAGGAAGAAAAACAACATTACTGAGAACAAAGACAGCCTGTGCATAGATAGACCCATTCACAAGAGAAAGTTAAGCAATTTGGTGTTGCTCTAGCATTAAGTGAAAGGCAGTATGATGAAAGGTGAGGTTATGCAGCAGAAAGAAACCACTGGAAAGCCTTGTGTGTACTTTTTAAGAAGCATGACTACCTTCACTGATCAGAGAACAGGGAGATCCTTGAAATGCTTCACAGTGACTTGTGATTTGGTGAGGTTTTAGTCTTAGATGGTCATGGAGAAGATGAATATAAGGAAGACAAGACATTTTGGCAAGTAAAGACATTGAGGTCCTAAACCAGGATAGCATTGTAGAAATGCAGAAGGGGAGGCAAAATCAAAAATTGTTTGTGATAAAAAATTATCAAGACCTGTTATTAACAAACATGGGGAGCAGAAGGAGCAAGGATGATTCTAGATAGCTGTCTTACTTGTCTTGGAATTGAATATCTAACCTACTTAGAGAAATTGGAAGAGAGAATATAGTGAGTTTGGTTTTTTTATCCTCAACACACTGAGATTTTTAGTGTGCCTATTATATATTTGGAACTAAGTCTAATTAATAATTATCAGAGATGTCTGGATAACCAGAAATGCATCACCTGTAATATTCACCTAACTATATCTCCTCTTGGAAGCAGATAAAGCATCTAGTACATACATTTGTCATAACTCTTTCACTGTGATGTAAGGCTTGGCTTTCTTCTCTACTCATCTGTGTAATTATGGCCCAGTATTTGGGTTATAACTTTACCACATGTGAGAGGGTGAGTGAGTGAGTAAATAGATTATATTAAAAATCAATTTGGTTATTAAGAAGTTTCTATTTGGGTATTCTCATTCTAATTCTTCTGTGGTTTATCTTCCAGCACCTTTTACTGGAAAAATCTCAAACAATGCAACTTCCTCAGGAGCAGGGGCACCAGCCAACTCTGCTGCGAGGCAGCCCCAGCCAAGTGACCAGGATACGTTAGTGCAAAGGGCTGAGCACATTCCAGCAGGAAAGCGAACTCCAATGTGTGCCCACTGTAACCAGGTCATAAGGTCGGTTGTTTATTTTTTGAAATTTTTTTGAGATTACTTAGTACCAATATTGTGATTTAAAAATATTCTATAATATTTGTAATTTTATTGGTGAAAAAAAAGTCTTGCTAGCGTGTCTAAATACCAGTCTGAGTAACCAAAATGCTATCACTTAATAGAAACCATGTTATGTCAGAGTTTATTTATTACTATTAAACCTAAAAATATAACAACTAAATACAGATAATAATTAAAACCATTGTTTTATTCATTAGGATAAAGCAGTGCCATACTAGATTAAAGTGGATAAACATATGCATATATTTGTTAGGATTATTTTAGTGAGAAATAATTCTGGGCCCCATGAAAATAAACTAAAAATACTAATTGTGTCACTTATTAATTCCTATCAGAACTAGGGAAATAGTGATGAATGTTACTCTTCAGAGAATAATAAAATTTTTAGACTTCAAGGGACGTTGAAGATCATTTATCTCAACTACACTGTTTTACAAATTGTGGAAGTGAGGACTTTCATTTAAGTGAAAAATAGCTAGTAGCATAAAATGAACTTTTGAGCCCTAGAGAAAAGAAGATTGGATTTTCAAATACTTCATCATTGAGAGATATTTATAATTACCTTCAGATCTGGTCATAAATGCTTTAAATCAGGTTATATCCTGCTTTAGTAAAATATTTTTGTCCAAATCTATTTGACTGTCTCTTAAACTCCTGAAAAAGAAAAAAAAAAAATGCCCAGAGAGCTTAAGTCAGTATGCAGTCCTGGAATTTACTAAATCTCTGAGCATTTTTAATGAGTGGCTTTTATAAGTGTTACAAGTTGTAGTTGTGAATGTTGGTTGCAGGTGTCTCACCAAAAAGACATGTTGTCTCCTTGTAAGTTGCCTGCTGGAAGTAAAAAAAAAAAAGAAATTATTGGTTGAAATTATTACTCATGCTCTTTTTATTTTATCATTTCTAATATACTTACATATTTATTCATTATTTGGGCCACCTGCACCCCCACCTCCAGGCAGAACCTGTTCACCCTCTTGTTCTCTAATTTTATTGAATAAAAAACATGTAAAACAAAAAAGAAAAACTTAGCTTTTTTGGTAGTTTCAGCTAAAGATAGCTGTACAGGGAGATTTCTGTATTGTTTCTGTGCATATGTGTATTACAACCCAAATCGGTTCATCTCTACCAGATGTCTTCACTAATTCCTAATCCCCTTCCCATTGTGGCCTCTGACAGTTTAAGATTACCATATTCGCTCCTGTATCAACCACATTCAGGTTTTTGGTTTCCTTCATTTTCTGTATTCCTCCCATGCATGCTCTCCCCCTATCGTGCTGTCCATGTCCAATAATATTACTGCATTTGTTTTAGGTCTATAATCCACACATGAGGGAGAACATTTTTGGCCTTCTGAGCCTGACTAACTTTGCTCAAGATAATGTTCTCCAGTTCCATCCATTTTCCTGCGAGTGATAAAATTTCATTCTTTGTGGCTGAATAAAATTCCTTTGTGTATAAATATAACATTTTCTTGATCCATTCATCAGTAGTGGAGCATATTGGCTGTTTCCATAACTTGGCTATTGTGAATAGTGTTGCAGTAAACATGGGTGTACAGGTGCCTTTGTAGTAAACTGACTCACATTCCTTTGGGTATATCCCTAGGAGTGATATTGCTGGATAATATGGCAGGTCTATTTTTACTTTATTAAGAAGCCTCCATATTGTTTTCCATAGTGGTTGTTCTAGCTTACATTCCCACCAATAGTTTGTGAGGGTTCCTTTTTCCATGTAACCTCGCCAACATTTGTAGGTGTTGTTGGTGTTCTTGATGGTAGCAATTCTAACAGGAATGAGGTGGAATCTTAGTGTGGTTTTGATTTGCATTTCCTTTATGGACAGGGATGGTGAGCATTTTTTCATGTGCTTTTTGGCCCTTTGGACTTATTCCTTTGAAAAAGTTCTGTTTAGTTCAGTTGCCTGCTTCTTTATTGATTCATTGATTTTGGGGGAATTTAGTTTTTTCAGCTCCCTGTATATTCTGGTTATCAGTGTAGCTCTAAGTATTTTCTCCCACTCTGTGCGCTCTCTTTAGTTTAGTGAGCATTTCTTTTGTTGTGCAGAAGCTTTTCAATTTCATGTAGTCCCATTTGTCTTTTCTTTTCTCTTAGTTGCTGAGTTGCTTGAGTTTTCTGCTGAGGAAGTCCTTGCCTATACCTATTTTTTCCAGTGTATTCCCTGGTCTTTAGTGTACTGACTTCAAGATTTTTGGTCCTTAATCCACTTTGAGTTGATACTAGTACCAGGTGACAGGCATGGATCTAGTTTCACTTTTCTGCAGGCAGATAACCAGTTTTTCCAGCAATATTTGTTGAAGAGGCTGTCTTTTCTCCATCGTATGTTTTTGGCACCTTTATCAAAAATTATAGGTGGGCATAGTTATATGGGTTCATATCTAGGTCCTCTTCTGTTCCACTGGTCTTCGTATCTGTTTTTGTGCCAGTACCATGCTGCTTTTATTTCTATGGCTCTGTAGTATAGTTTCAAGTCGGGTATTGTGATACCTCCAGCATTGCTCTTTTTGCTCAGTAGTGCCTTGACTATTCACGGTCTTTTGTGTTTCCAAATGAAGTTTAGATGGATTTTTCAATCTTTCTGATTAATGTCATTGGGATTTTGATGGGAATTGTGTTCAACGTGTAGATTGCTTTTGGTAGTGTTTGCTCATACTCTTGTCCTTTAAAGTTTATCTTATATTGAAACAGTTGAAACAGTGGCTTCTCTAAAGATGAATAAGGTTAAGACTCACATTTTCTCCTCTACTATTACATAAATAGTGCTTAGAATAATAATTCTGTGTAGTATTTAAAATGGAACCCAAGAAACCTCAATACTTTAAAAACCAAATATAAATACTCCTTTCCTTAACTTACCATTACTTAAATAGCATGTCAAAAACAGCATATAATGCAAGATAAAAGTAGACTAGTTTTTTTATTTTAAAGATACAGTATTCATCATGGCATTTTTTTCATATAGAGAAGCAGAAAGAAAAAAATAACTTCATACATAATCCCACCTTCCAAGATAACTATTAGTATTTTAGTTCAAACTTTTAAAACATTTATGTATAAAGACAAGTATTGTTTTCCAGAAATAGAATCATAGCATGGTTTTTTTTAAAACTGTTATGTTTCACTGAAATTTTATTATTCAGAGCAAGTACCTGCTTAATAAGAATTAGACAATAGCAATGGTAGTATTAACAGTGGTTTCGAGAAGGAACAAATCAAGTAGAGGTTTCAGAAGTCTAATAGTCTCCAGTATTCAGAAAACACTCAGTAAATGTTTAACCAAACAGATAATGCGTGATTGTAAGTTCATTCATGGTTCAATTTAATTATAATGTCAACTTGATGAGTCGTTTTCCTAAAAGTGCTTCCATAAAGTTACTGTCTTACTGAAATAAACTAATATAAAATCTAGGGTGGTGTTGCTTTATTCTAATAAATAAAACAGTGTTTTTAGTTGCTACCTTATAGTTTGAGGTTTAATATTCATAAAATAAGCCCTGACTTATAACATGGCTTCTATAAGTGATAGTACTTTGATTGCCGAGACTGGTGGTTAGGGATACTGTATTCTGAATTATAACACTTCTTATGGAAACAAAAGTCACTGCTTTGTGTGTTCTTATAAGCAAGAAATTGCTGGATGAGTTAACAGTATGTCAAACCAAATTAGTTACTGATTCATGTTGTCTGTCAAATTCTGTGATATACTATAGTCACTATTATTAGTGCTTCTGGAAACCTAATTAGTATGAAAAATATGAAGATCAAAATAGAAATTATACTTACATCCCTACCTGCCTTGATTTCAGACTTAATGCTAGGCCGTGAGACAGTTTAATGCACAGACATCCTGCCCTATGAAATAAATACATATTCTGCTAATAAGACGAGTGGCCATCACTTATTGCTCCTTCACCTGTAAAATTTGACATTGTTCTGTATTACACAGCACTCACTATCATTTAAGCATTAAAGCTGTATTTACTAAGGAAGTTAACAGCAATGGGGATTAGTTTATGTTGAGATCATATAACAGTAATTAACATAGCACATTTGCGAGGTGCTCAAATGCTAGTGCTGCTTGAATAAATCGTGGTCAGTTCAGAGGCCTGCTCAAAGCATAATTCTAGTTCCTGGCCCCATGTCAGTATTACTTACCAAACCAAGGAGGTATAGCTCAAGTGACATTCTCTTGGACACCTGTTTTAAAAACAAGCTGCAGTTGCAGGCTTAATCCTTTCAACACAGAATATTATACCCTGGAAAACTCTGAGAAGTGTAACTCTTAGTTTATAATTCTTATTGTTAGTTTTCCACCATGTAACTTACATTTGTTTAAAATCATATTGTTTTGTATTTGCTTTTTTACTATTTTAAGTTTTCAAAAACAGTTTTGATGAAAGTTTTTGTATTTTGCTTTATTGGGGTGTTTGTTTGTTTTAGCAGAGTTTGATTGCTTTTGGAAAATGTCAAAAACCTGATTATTAGTACTGAACTGGTTGTCTTTATAGACCATACTTAGTTTAAAACTCCATAAGATAATTTTATTTGTATCTAATGTTTAAATTTTTGGTTTATTTGAATCTTGAAAAGTTTATGGATATTTACCTAAATTTTATTATGGAGTCATTACTTTGACTAGTAACAAATGGATAGGGAATAAAACTTGCTGAAGCGTTAGGTTTGTTATGGAACATTTCCAATACAATTAGGATAGAAGTACCATTTTTTCAAGTCTCATGCTCATGAATAGATTGACTATTAGAGTACTGATATAGTAGGAAAGCATTAAAAAAAAATAGACTAATGTAGCCAAAACCAGGTTTTAGTTTCCCTGATGGAATGGACTTATAGACATTCTAGGTTATTTCTTGAGTCCTGTATCTAGTGTCATTAAAATCCAGGGCCATTTGTGTTACATGACGTTAA